AAAGTTGATGTTGTCAATGACAACAGTGGGTTTTCAAGTTTCCAACTGCCAAGGTCTTTGATGGAATTGGGCTCTTAGGAGACTTTTGGGATATCCAGGCCTATATTTAAAGTAACTCGGAGATTCTCTGTGTGTCTGTGAGGATGAGAGTGCATGGGCTCGTCATAGCCTCACAAATGAATTAAGACTTATCAAAGATGCAGAGCTTGCAATTTTCACGTGGTGAGTAGAACTAACCCTTACCTTGGATGAATCCTTCAGACAATGTGCAGCAGAGATGATGTGGGATGAGAATCTGCCTCACGTGTAAGGTGAGTGACCAGAGGGACAAAAACAGGTTGATGTTTCTTGGGAGGGTATGAGCTGACGTAGGCAGATCAAGCAGCTTTATGCTTTACCCTGCATGCTTCATTTTGTTTTGGTTTGTTGGCTTTTTGTTTTGGTTTTCCTAAGACAACGTCTCTCCATAGATCTGCCTGTCTCTGCCTCCCCAGAGTTGAGATTAATGTTGTGTGCTCCCACAACTGGTGGGAATACAATTTAAACACTGAACTTCATGGAACAGCCTGTGGAGAGACTGTCATTTCATTGGATTATTAAATGATGAATTGTTGAAGAAGAAACAGGAATAATTGTCCTCTTCTCTAAGTCACCCTGATACCACAAGGAAATGGATCTCCAGTGGTCACATCATGCTGTCCCTCAGTACGCCTGTGCAGATTGCTAACGTTTGGGGGTTGGGCTTGAAGGCTAGAAGAAGGGAAGCGTCACGGTGTATGAAGAAGAGAATTTAAGACTGGGTATGGGGGTGATTGCCAGTAATTTGGGCATTTGGGAGGTTAATCAGGAGTTAAAAGCCAGCCCATGCTACATATCAGATTTGAGGCCAACTTGAAATACTTGAGACCCTGTATGAAAACAAACAAACCAAACAAAAAGCCTAAATGATAAAAATAAGAGAATTTTGTAATAGAGAATATTTGATTTAGTGGCCACATAGCATATTCTTCAGATGATTGATGTTTAAACATCAAAACTGGTAAATACCTTTTCTGTTGGAAACATTTACAAATTGCATAGTATGCCTTAACAGTATGGGGCATGAATGCAGTACAGTGTATACAACTTAACCTTGTTAACTAGTTAATCATTATAAATTCCCATTATTGTTCTGTGCTAGAATATTAGATAACATAACTTGGAAGGCTCTTGTAACGAACACTTTCTACTGTATGTGATCCTGTTCAAAACAGTTTCCGCACATGGACTAACTGTTCTGTAGCAGTTCTTTCTCTGTCCCACCAGCCAGCTCCCAAAGAACAACACAGAGACTTCTTATTAATTATGAAAGCTTAGTCTTAGTTAAGGCTTGTTTCTAAGTAGCACTTGTAACTTAAATTAACCCATTTCTATTCATCTCCATGCTGCCACATGGTTTGTGGACTTGACCTCTCCCCCTGCATGTCCTGCTTCCTCTGTGTCTGGCTGGTGATCCCCCCTCTTCTTCCCAGAGCTCTCTCTGTCCAGAAGTCCTGCCTATACCTCCTGTTTAGCTATTGGCTGTTTAGCTTTTTATTAAATCAATCACAGTGACATATCTTTACACAGTGTAATAAAATATCTCACAACACTGTTTTAACAATGCGTATATGTATATACATGTGTGTGTATATATATATATAAATGTATGTATATAAACTAACTGTATAACATATTTGAATCTACCTTAGCGATGCTTTTGTTCACTGGGGTGTGCCAACCCATGCCCCCGGGCTATAAAGTGTCCTTTCATTCACACTGCTGATGCTATCCTGCCCATTAGTCACTTAGCAGGCATCTCTCGTTCTCAGATTGACTGACACAGCGCTACAGTGCTCATGTGCAAGTGACTCTCACCTCCAAAGAACAAGAGTAGAAATGGGATCCTGCAGTTTAGGTATGCCAAAGAAAAGTGGTAGCGTGCTTCCCTTGGGCGAAGGATGAAAGTTCCCAACTTTCCTGTTCTCCACCCGTGAAACTGCAGGAGGAAAGAGAAACCGTGCTAGTTCTGCAGTCACACTGCAGACTGCAGAGTTTATGGCAACAGTGTAAGCTAGTCATCCAGCTCCCCTCCTGTGGTCATGGGGGACCCTGTCACCTCACATCACAAGAATGTGAGTGCAGCACACCAAGATGTTCTTGTCACAGCATCTTGCTGGAGCTGTTCTACTATATTATTAGTTGTTAATCTCTTACAGTACCTGTTTGCTTTCGTTTTTGTTTTGAGACAGGTCTTGATATATAAGACTGTGACTTGCTACTTACACCAGCCTGGTTTCAAACCGGTGATCTTTTGCTTTAGCCTCAGAGTGCTAAGATTAGAGGCATGTATCATCACACCTGGCTAGGTTACAGTGCCCTATTTAAAAGCTTTATTAGCACGCCTTTAATCCCAGCACTCGGGAGGCAGAGGCAGGCGGATCTCTGTGAGTTCGAGGCCAGCCTGGGCTACAGAGTGAGTTCTAGGAAAGGCACCAAAGCTACACAGAGAAACCCTGTCTCAAAAAACCAAATAAGGGATTTAGCTCAGTGGTAGAGCACTTGCCTAGCAAGCGCAAGGCCCTCGGTCTGATCCTCAGCTAAAACAAACAAACAAACAAACAAACAACAAAAACCAAATAAATAAATAAAATAAAAAATAAAAACCTCATTATATGTATGCACACATAGAAAAAACACAATATGTGGAGGGCTCAGCAATGTCTGCAGTTTCAAGTTCTGGGATTGCAGGTAGGTACCACTGCACCTGGCTCCGTGAATGTACTTTCAATATAACATTTAAAGTACTTTTCTAGGTAGCAAATTGTTACAAGTCCAATTACAAAAAATAGTTAAGTCAATTGTTTTTCCCATGGGGGGAAAAATCTAAGCAGCCATTTAAAATATATACAAATGTCTGTGGTGACCAGGCCCATGATGCCAGAGGCTGAGGTAGAACTTAGGCCAGTGCTGACCAAGCAACAGACCTTCCTTCCATGTTGGAAATGCCCCATGTATGTGCTGTGCGGCATGGCAGCGAGCAGCTGCATGTAACTACTGAGCAGTCATTAAGGGCCCGTGTGACTGTGAAATGGAAGCTTTAGTCTTTAAGGTTAGTTAAGCAGACTCACGTGCCAGGGGGCGGGGGTGGGGTGGGGTGGCTACAGCTTTGAATATTGCAGCAGCTGCTAACATTAACAGAACTTTTGCTGTGGGTGGATTTAAATCTACTGCTTTGATGTTTATCTTCCTCTTGTTCCCGCTCTGTATCTTCACCCACTATGTTGACCTGTCTATCTTTTTGGTGAAAATATTAATTACTAATTAATATTATAATACTCACATGATAGTAGCTAGTTACCCACTGACAGCACAATGAAATTGCTTACAGACAATAATTAATATGGAGAAAATAAAATAATCCAAAATACTATATAAAAATAGGTAATGTATAAGAGAAAAAAAACCTTAAAAACTCATTGAATAAGTAAAAGAATTAAGAGTAGAGAAAACAAATATATCAGTGGTAACAGATTTATTGAGGCTGGATGTCCCTATTAAAACACAAAGATTGTAAAATTGGATAAAACATTTAAGCCTAACCAGTGGACTCACCAGAGAGCATCTAATCATCCAATACACACCAAGTGTTATCAGGTAGGGACACTTCGGAGCCTGGTGCCCAGCGTCATTAAATAGGGAAATTACACAGCTCCATAGCTGCTTGGTCAGCTCCGGCTAGCTGGTCAGACTCTAGTCCTCCCCACCGTAAAGAGGAGTTTACCGTAAGCCCCACCTTGAACTTCCGGTGGGGTTTCTCCTAGACTTCACCCTAGGCACACTTTTTTCTTCCTGTGTGTATTTTAATGTGTGACAGAACTTTTCACTCTAATAAACCCAGCAGGCGCAGACAGTTTCCCTGACTTCTGTAAATCCTCCTAGTGAGTCAGAGGTTGAGTCTGGTCTTGGGGACGTCAGCACCTGTAATTCTTGTCGGCCCTGTCCAGGTAGGACACACTGGATTGACTTCAGAGTATGTTAACGGTGCCACCCTCATCCCTACTGCGAATTAAGAGCCCCAGCGCCAGTTCCTGCTCTTGCAGGTTTTGACGTTAGGAAGGAAGCCTCTCCCCTTTGCTGTAGGTCTGCACTGGCCACCCCTCTGCCATCACATTCTGTTTGATGTGAGAGGTGAAGAAAACATTGGATAAATTTCCCCAGGTCACAGTCATCTTCTCACGCAAATCTCTTTCTTACCTTTGCAATATTATTATTTGCACACCTTTTAGAATCAAAGTGTAATTTTCATTTGCTTTATACCTATATCTGCATTGTTTTGTGCATATGTGAATGCATATGTATGTTTTTGCTTTCGGGATTATTATGATATACTTTCCTAACTTTGTGTTCACTCTGAGTTAATATTGTACTGCTTCACTTAAATATAGTTCTATGTGTATATTATAAATTTCATTCATTGGAAAATGTTACATCATTTTTGCTGTAAGTCACCACTTTCAAGAGGAGAAACCAGCCTTCTGTATTTGCTATTTGCTATCATCTATTCTTTCCCGAGTCTCAGTTTGTCCTCTGTCCAGAAACACCTTACTTCTTGATAAAAATGTCTATTGGCCTCTGAAGTGTCTGACTGAGAAATGGAGAAATGAGCAGACTCTAAGTGTGGGAAACAGTCAACCTCACCTGCCCTCGGCCTGAGCTTATGTCCCCCTTCACCTCAGGCCACTGATGTGTGATAGTTTGAGGGCAAGGAACAAATGTAACCCCGGATTATCTGGTTCCAAGGTATCTGACCTCAGTCCCAGAAGTGTGGCAGAAACAAAGCAGTTATTCTGACACGTTCGGGTATTTAACCATACACATTCCCACCCTCTGAATTATTTGTTTTAACTACAAACCTTTTAAAAAATGTCCCCACTCTTACCCCAGGTGAACCACATCCCTGTCTCCAGGGTGAAGTTTGCTTTACGAACCTCTTCACCTGGCTGTTCATTTGTCTACCAACGATAATCCTTTATGATGATTCAGCTATAGTAAAGCACTTTTCTGGGCTGTCTAAGTTGTTCTAGAACTCCCAAACTGAAGAGACAGCTGTGGGAACCATCTAGATGTAGCAGCAGTTAGAAGTAACTGTGGTGACCCGGGACTAGGGACTAGTACGAGAACCTGGGCCGGCTTGCACAATGGGGCCCCTACCTTGTGGGCCTGCTGCTAACTGCATTAACTGTCAGGACTGAGTTGGGTTGGAGGATGCTCAGCTGCTGTTGGCGAGTTGGAGTAGCACTTGGGAAACCACCCGGCATCTGCCGTCACAGAGAAAGCAATTTGGGAGTGGCAAAGTGTCTCACATTCCTCTGACTTCTGTCCCATCTCTCCCGGGCCAGACTCTATCTCCCACAGCTGCCTTTGCCCCATCCCCATCGGGATCGCCGTGCCAGGGGCTCCAGATCCGTCGGACTCGGTCTAGTACACAAACTTTCTTTCAGATTCTCGAGTAGTCAGTTTCTCCCAACCTTAGCTCGCCTTTCTTCCTCAGAACGTTGGCAAAGCTCACAGCAGCGCCCAGGTATGGCGAGCTGCAGAGGCTTTCCGACTTCCAAAAGGAAAGAGTTACAAGAGGGTAGCACATTGACGCGTGGAGCAGGGGCCTCTCAAGGGGCAGCCAAACCTCCTCCAATTCCCTGGAGTCAGACCTGGCCGGTCCACTGTGTACCACCGTGGCTAGTCCTGCCGCTTCTTCCCTTAAACGAAATAGTTATCCGTGACCTGATTGGCCCTCAGGCTTCTGTTTAGACCTAAAATTGCCATTTCCACAGGGGCATGTGTTGTAGATACAATAGGGTTTATTTAACTTCTCACATCTCTGCTTTACTAAGGTCACAAATCCAAAACTGATGTCAGCAGAGGAGGAGATGGGAGAACAATTGGAAACTGGAACTGGTGGCCCTGAGGAGCAGTTTCTGTTAACTTCCATAGCTCCTTCTTGTGCGTGCTACCTCCATATTGGCCACTAGGTGGCACCATAGTACACAATAATGAGAAAGAATGATTGACAAGGTGCTGTAAGTAAAGTTGCTAGACCAGAGACTGGCTGTAAATTGGGTGTAATTAGGTTATTTAATAAGCTGTATCTTTCAGATAGGGCAATCTTGGAGCTGGAGAGGTGGCTCAGTGAGTGGTTAAGAGCACTTGCTCTTTTGTGGAGGACCTGGGTTTGGTTCCCGGCACTCACTCCGGGTGGCTGAAAACCTACTGTAACTCCAGTCCCAGGGGATCCAACACCCTCTTTTTGTCTCTGTGTGCACCTGAATGCACATAGTGCATATACAGACAAGTAAGCACACACATAAAATAAAAATAAATCTTTTACAAAAGATATGACAATCTTCTGTAGTCATGCTAGACAGTAAGTAACCTTGTTCCTTCCTCAAACAAAGAGAAGCTTAAAGTGGCCGACTGTATCAGTAACAACCTTGCTGGACTAAATCAGCTGAGGATGTGCCTAGTCCTGGATCTCATCCTTCAGGATATTAAATCTCTTTGTTGAGAAGATGGATTACTGCCAGATCCTTTTATCGCTAGGGCTGAGCTCTTGCAGCGCTTGGGGATTAGACATGAGCCGTCTCTCCCCTCAGTGCCTTCACGTCCTTTTCAATCATTCTCCTGTGAGGCCCAGATAAGATGCCAGAGATAACGGAGGGACAAATGGGGCCCCCTCGGCAGCATCTCCTTCCTGGTACCCAGCGGCCAAACTGTCCTGGTGATAAAATACAAGATCTTCTTGGCTCCCCCCTCATCCTCAGCAGGTCCACATGTTTTCTGCCCCATGTTCAATCCCATTCAGGATGGGGGTTACTCAGTGGGCAGCAAAGCTCAGCTAGTGCAGTGTGCCAGGATGAGTGATGCTGAGAGATGCCTGGTGAATGGTACCGAAATTTAACACCATTTAACTGTACTGGGCTACAGACCTACTGCATGCCGCATCCAGCTTCCTGAGGATAACAAAGTAACATCCAACAGTCAGCAAGCTCAGAATTCATGTCTGGTATTATGGTTTTGTAGAGACTAGATGCCATGCATGCACACTCATCCTTTTGGTGTAAAGTTGACAGTTTCATTTCAGCTGTGTCTGAGTTGGCTGTGGAAATGTCTGGGGAGTTTGTAAGTTCTCAAAGAGGGAACTGGGAATTAGCTACCATCATTAGCATCCAGCAGCATTTATAAGACATTTATTTGTGCCTAACACAGCATGAGTATCATGCATAGAACGCTTCCCCACATCTTCTTCTAAGTAGGAACATAGGCTGTGCTACAGCTTCTGAGGTTAAGGGTACACACCTCTTAGGGGACATTTACATTGTCATTGCCATAGCCATCATGGTACCTGGCAACATAACATCCCAAAAAATAAAGGCAGAATTTCATTAAAGTAAAAGTTGTACTTTTCAGTTTTGGACGTTTAGTAAATAGTCAGTTACTGGGAAATTTCCCTTTTTGGTGAAAATACAATTTTGAAATCATGAGTTAGACTTGAAAGTTGTCCTTTTTGTCAGCAATCCCATCTCAGACCGTGCAGTTAAGCAGTTAGAGTCTTAGAAACACCTGGATCAAATCTAGACACTCACAAATGAGAGTGACAGAGATCACACACTCCAAGTGTGAACAGTCTGTGAAGGGGACAGAGCAACATCTATCAACCACACACAGTGCTTTAACCAGCAATCCCATGTCTACATTGTTATCAGATTTACTTTCAAATAAGAAAACTTATCTATAGACTGAGCCATTCACTGTGGCATCGTTTGTAACAGCCAAAGCCTAGATACAACTTGAGTGTCCAGCTGAGAAATGAAATCTCAAAAGGAACAAGGAATCTCAAGGTGCTAGAAGGGAAGGATCTCTAGGTCCCAGGAACAGGGCAAGGCACAGAAATGTGCGAATATAAGCAATAGGTGTGCCCTCCCTCTCCATTATCATATGTATCATGTATATATATATATATATATATATATATATATATATATGTATGCCTTTCCTCTCCATTATTGTATATGTCATGTATATATGTATGTATGTATGTATGCCCTCTCCATTATTGTATGTCTCATGTATATATGTATGTACGTATGCCCTCCCTCTCCATTATTGTATATGTCATGTATATATGTATGTATGTATGCCTTCCCTCTCCATTATCATATGTATCATGTATATATATGTATGTATGTACATGTATTTTTCTGCTTGCTTTTTCAATAAGGAAGCTCTGTAAAGCTACCTTAGAAACAAACAACTTTGCTTGACTACAGGGAGAGACACTAAGTAGCATGGGCAGGAATAGAGAAGACTTGTTGGGTACCTTTTGAATTTGTGTTTATGGATATGTGTTTGTGGGGGGGGCAAATGATGATGTCAGATGTCAGGCATCTCCTACAATCACTTTCCCTTTTATTTATCTATTTATTTAGAGACAGGGTATCTCACTGAACCTGGAGCTTGCTGATTTGACTAGACTGTCTGGCAGCAAGTTTCAGGGGTCTTTCATCTTTACATCCGGTATTATAGGCATGTATGACCACACCTGTTTTTTTTTATTGTTTGTTTGCTTTTAACATCAAGATTGGATTCAGATCCCTTGCTTTGTTTACTGAATAAATCATTGTCCCAGCTTCTCCTTGTAAATGTTGAACCACATAAATGTATTTACCTATTCAAGCAACAACAGTAAAAATCATTACTAAAACCCAGATCCCCCAACAAACAAAACAAAACTTCACAAAAAGCTAAATGATTCCAAATTTACAAACATCACTCTAACAGTCTAAACTGTGATGATTTCATGGTGTTGCCAATTTGGGGTCATTTCCCTTTGGCATTTTTGTAACTTTGTAGTAGGATCATTTTGATTGACAAGACTCTGCAAGGTTAGGATGAACCCTTGTGTTAAACTACAGTCTTGTCATTAATACTTCTTTGTGTCCCATCTCCCATTTTAATAACCGATAAACCCTACTTGTGAGGGTTATTGAGAAGACTCCATGAGTCCACACCTGTAAAGTATCGAGTGAAAGGCTCAAAAAGAGCACAACAGAATGGACAGCCCACCTTGCTGACAGCCATTGTGAAACCCATGCGCTACAGAGCTGTAATGGTCAGGAAGGGAATAGATGGACAGCTGTTGACACACAGTAGGCACGAAATGAATATCAGTTCCCTCACAGCCCTGCTTACTGGACTTCCTGGGTCCCCCAGGGCTCTGTCTTTGAGAGACTGCCGTACTTTTCCAGAGAGCATGTGAGCTCTCCGTTTTAGTCTGCAGGTGGACCCATCGAGCTGCTGTGGGCTGGTTCAGGCATTTTAAGGAAGGATTCTGTTTGACTCTATTATTTTCATGTCAGTTTCTAGGGTTTATCTAAATAAACATTTCTCTATTCTTTTTGTTGGCATTTATGTGGATTAAGTGACGGCAGGGGGAGTACAGTGTGCTGTGAAATGTAGCATCTACTCTAAGCCTTCCGAGTCAGCGGAGGAACGTTGCGAGGTGGTTCTCTGGATAACTCTTAGAAAAAGAGAAACAACCCTCCGAATAAAAAGCCAACATGTTTAAAATGGGTGTGTGTGTGGGGGGGTCACACCTCACAAGCTTTAACTTCTTTGGGAGAATTAACATGGCCTGCTCTAGTTAGGATTAAACCCCAAACCTGGATGATTTCAAGCCCCAACCTTTGCATCTCCCCTCAGGCAAATCATCGCGAAACAAAATGCATAAGCCTTAAGCAGACATTGATTATAGGAAATGATTTTCTAGGTGAGAGGGAACTGCCATTCCCTTTTCTGTTTTTGTTTGGTTTGGCTTTGTGTCTATGTAGCCAAAGCTAGCTTTGAAATCATGATCCTCAAGTCCCCCAGTGCTGGGATTACAGGTGCTGCGACACTCAGCTAATGCTTCGGTTTCTATGTGCATTGGTCCTCACATGCATCACTTATGAACAGTTCTTATATTAGCCCCATGAGCTAGACCATCTTCCTCTTTCAGATAAGGGAGACAATCCTTGGAGAAGTTATGTTGGCTAACATTACAGAGCAAACAGGGAAGAAGGAAGGCATTTGAGCAGTCTGCCTCTTCCTCTAGCATCCAGACGTAGTCCAGTAAGAAAAGACCTTCCGTCTTCTCTTGTGTTTCTCTCCATCTCTGCTGGAGTATGAGTTCAGGGGCCTTGGAACCTCTCAGAGATTTCTTCCTATTGGTCAAGTATCACGTGACTAAAAATTTAAAAAGGCTTTCTTATTGCGGTTGTTTATGCACGTCTTTACATGCTGAGGTACCAGTGCTCAAGGTCTGGGGAGAGATTGCATGGTGGTTGGACTCGAGCATGGCCATTCCTGAGCTTTGGGAGTCAAGAGAGTTAGGCAGCTACCAAAAAGCCAGGAGGGTGGAGTTCTTCTGTAGGTAGGGTCACTGAGTGTCTGCCGTGTGCCAGGCATGGTACTGAACACACCCCAGGGAACATTCGGCTTAACCATCACGACCCCTCTGCATGGGGAAGCCACCACTACTTTACTTCA